GCCTATTGGGCATATTCCTAGAACATGGCACGTTACTCTCAAAATAATAAGAACAAAAATGTGTTTCCTTTGCAAGATAGGCTTCGCATATAGATTATTCAATCTTATTCCTCTGCTTAATAAATTATTTGCATTTGCCAATTGTCCTACATAATGTCATGTTAGACAAGAATATTCAAATAAAATATAATATTACCTCTCAAAGGGATACATCCATCTGCATTGAACATGCCCTCCAAGTCGTGCCTCGTTTACAAGGTGTATTGGAAGGTGTTCCATTACATCAAAGAAACCATATGGGAATATTTTTTTCCATATTACTAGAAATTACACGAATGTTCAATCCATCAGAAGTAGGTTTTCTTCCCTTAATGTGGTAGAACACAAGTCTTTGAAAAATAAACTAATCTCTGTGATGGGTTTCCAGATTCTTTCAGGCAAACCACAAAATGCAATAGGCACTAAGGTCTCCATGAAAACATGGTAGTCATGACTTTTCAAATGGCTCAACTTCCCTACCTCCATATCTACTTTTTTTCCAAGATTCGACGCATAACCCTCACGCATCTTCAATTTCGTAACCCAATCACAAATTTATCGTCTTTCCTCCAAAGTGAATGTATAACTTGCTTTGGGATTGAATACCTTACCATTATTTGTTGTCTGCAAGTATAATTCAAGCCACCTGCAATATTCTTGTAAGTCCATTCTAGCCTCCGGGTTATCTTTTGTCTTACCTTTAACATCCATCACTGTGTTGAACAAATTATCAAAATAATTCTTCTCAATATGCATGACATCAAGGTTGTGTCGGAGAAGATTATCCTTCCAATAAGGCAACTCCCAAAATATACTCTGTTTCGTTCAATTATGATTAACACCATATCCGGGGAATCTATAAGGTGGAGCCTCAGTAACTTTACTGAAGTTCTGGACCCTCTCCCAAATTTCCTCACCTGAAAGTATCGGAGGTGGAGAATCATATTCCACTTTATTCTTTTTGAATGCATTTTTCATCCTTCTAAACTCATGATCATCAGGCAAGAATTGACGGTGACAATCAAACCATGATTGCTTTCGACCACGTTTCAAAGTGAACGCTTTACTATTTTTCATGTAGTAAGGACAAGCAGGCTTCCCAGCAGTCATCCACCCAGACAACATTCAATATGCAGGAAAATCATTAATAGTCCACATTAAACTAGCACGCAAATTGAAATTCTGCTTGGTTGATATGTCATATGTTTCAATACCATCATACCACAATTGTTTTAGCTCATCAATCAAAGGTTGCAAATATACATCAATCAAACTTTTTAGATTACGTGGACCGGGGATAATACAATTTAAGAATATATATGGACTAGTCATACACAACTCAGGTGGTAGATTATAAGGTATAAGAAAGACATGCCAACGTGAATATGGTGTCGCAGATATAGAAAAAGGCGTGAAGTCATCCGCACATAGACCTAACCGAATGTTCCTTGGTTCACTAGCAAAATCTGGGTATGTCCTATCAAAGTGATTCCAAGCTTCTCCATCTGAAGGATGACACATAACACCAGGTGATCTTCTATTTTCAAAGTATCATCTCATATGAGGAGCAGAACTCATCGACGCATATAACCTCTTTAACCTGGGTATAAGAGGTAAATAATGCATCGCCTTGAGAGCGACCATATTCCCGCTGGAAAGCCTATTGAAACGAGGCTTTTCACAAAATTTACATCTGTCTAAAGTTGCATCATCTTTATAATATAACATGCAACCATCTTCACAACAATCAATTCTCATTGACGAAAGTCCTAACTTAGAAACTAATCTCTTTGCCTTATAGAAATCACCAGGTAAGTTGATATTAGGGTCAACTAGTTCACTCATAAGGTCAATGAAAGAGTCCATGGCTGCTTGAGAAATATTTCAATCAGATTTGATACTTGGTAATCTAACTGCAACAGACAGCTCAGAGTGCGGACTTCCTTCACGTAGTGGACGACTAGCTTCCTCTAACTGTTCATAAAAACGTTTTCCATCATCATTAGGAGTTTGTTCAACATTTTCATTGGGCTCACCCCCGAAGTGCATCCCAAAAGCATCCACAATCATATCCTGAATTCTAGAATCAAGATTTGTATTCTCCACCGACCTACTACTTTCACCAACAACCATGTTATGAAATATCCCACGGCTACCATCCCTAAAATAACCCGACCATGTGGTCCTAGCGCTTCGTGTTCTTATATATATATGGCTATACCTATATATACATACATATATATATATATATATACACACACACACACACACACAAACAAACATATACTATAACAAGCTATATATATAGTTAAAGTATTACAATAAAGTGTGTGTGTGTGTGTGTATAGATATATATATATATATAACACGCTTCGTTGTACTACTTGAACTACATATATAGCATGTTATATATAGTATATGTTAGTGTATTCATTATTTGTATTACAAAAGTGTTAACGAATTACATTTATATTATTTAGATAATAAATATAAAAGTAATTCAAAAGTTTGACCAATGTTGACGTAATAACCGACCAACTTTGGTCGGTTATTTTGCAGAAAATAACAATTACCGACCAAAGTTGGTCGGTAAATGCTTCCCCTACATTAACCGACCAACGTTGGTCGGTAATTTTAAATATAAATTCTTAAATATTATAAAATATTTTAAATAATAAAATAATTATTAAAATTTAAAAATTTGGATCCAGATTACCGACCAACGTTGGTCGGTAATCCAAAATTTTCTTGTCTGACCAGCTGGATCAATTCGTTGACCAATTTACCGACCAACGTTGATTGGTATTTAATTTTTAAAAAATATAAAAAAAAAATTCCAGTTTCCGTCCAAGCTGGACGGTGTTTGGTCGCTTTTTTTGACCGACCAACGTTGGTCGGAAATATTTGATCTATTTTTAGCGGATTTCTAGTAGTGTTAAACCTCAAAAGGTCAAGAGTTATAACTGGAATTTACATTAATTATAAAGTAGATTATTGTGATCGTGGTAGGTCACCTACTAAATTATAAAAAAATTGATACTTAACAAAAGTAATTTTTTTTTTTGATAAGATAAAGATTTATAAAATTTTGATTTAATATTTACCATTAAAAGAAGGAAAATCTGATTTACCACGGGAGAAATCTGATTTACCATAAAACGAATAATCTTATGATGACGGTCACACTTACAATTGGATATTAAAGTGGGCGTTTGGACATAAGAATGGTAAAATTTTTAAAAAAGTAATTTTTTTCGAGTGAATGATATTTGAAAATTAGAGTTGTGTTTGGATATAAATATAATTTGGGTTGTTTTTGAATTTTTGAGAGTGATCTGAGTAAAAAATTTGAAAAATAATTTTTTGGAATTTTTTAAAAATTTAAAAAATTTTAAAATTCATCTTCAAGTGAAAAATTAAAAATTTTATGGCCAAACATTGATTTCGGAAAAAAGTAAAAAAAATTTCATAAACAAACGGGCTCTTATAAATTGTGTTATGCCGTGTCGGGAAATCGTCGAGTCAATAAGAGCTTCCTGCGCAATTGATCTATCGCCGGAGAAGGAGCAGTTCTTAATTTCAAATCTGTGTTCTTTTTCTTGGTTTTAAAAGACTTTAATTTTTTAAGTTAATAAAGTCGCGTCAAATGAAGTTAAAAAAAAGAAAAAGGAAATAAGCATATTCATAAATTGAGTATTAAATACGGGTCACACATACGGCACATGGCAATAGAAGAGTCTTGTAGTAGTAGCTGCCTATATAGCGTGAACTTTCATAGAAGGTGAATGACAAATGTGTGCTATTTTCGTCATTCGTAACGGTTCACATCACAAATAGTCCCCTTTTTGATAGCCAGATTCCATGGAAACAAAAGTTCTGTCCAGCGGAATCCGCCACTCTACTATCCCTCAAAGTTATATCCGCCCTCAATCCGATAGGCCACGCCTCTCTGAAGTCGTTGATTGCGAAAACGTTCCAGTAATTGACATGGGCTGTGGAGATAGAAACCATATAATTCGTCAAATTGGCGAAGCCTGTCATCTTTATGGTTTTTTCCAGGTTTTTATCATCTCACCAATTGTCTAATTTTTTTTGCTACATGTATGGTAATTAACGAGGAACTTTTAAACTTTATGATTAGGTAATTAATCATGGTGTACCAACGAATTTAGTAGAGGAAATGCTAGAGATAGCTCGGGAATTTTTTAACCTTCCTGTTGAAGAGAAGTTGAAGTTGTACTCAGATGACCCATCCAAGACGATGAGATTGTCCACTAGTTTTAATGTTAAAAAGGAGACGGTTCACAATTGGAGAGATTATCTCAGACTTCATTGTTATCCTCTGGAAAAATACGCTCCTGAATGGCCTTCCAATCCCGCCTCTTTCAGGTAAACCCTTCACCATGTTCTCATTGTGTTAATCTATATTAGTTTCATTATTATGTTAATGGATACATTGCTGTCGTCTGAGTCATTAGTTTAATTCTTATCATGTCAGCCTTTTTTATTTTGGTATACCTCCAAGTAAAAATAGAACAATATCAGTGCGTAAGGAGGTGTGGTCACGTATCTCACATGTTTAAACATATTAAATTAAAAGTAAAATATTTTAAAGAGTATATTCTTTTTGGGCATGTGTTAGGCACGTGTCAGGTGTTTTTCAGTTGTACAGAAAAATCAATATACCTAAAAAATTTATATAGTAATAAATTGATTTGATTGTGAAGATCAGTAATAGTAGTAAATGATTTCATTCTAATGGAATCATTCTGAAGACAGAGGGTCAAATCAATTAAAAAAAATTATTAAAATTCTTTTTTTGTTGCTCTCACAAAATTCATGTAATCTCCCTAACCTTCTAGAGAAGGCATGTTCCATGTGAATGTCCTAACCATTTTCAATTTCTTTATCTTTGCTTTTTATTCTTTTGACATTTTAATGAGTATTTAAGAAGTACCATAGGTGTGTGCTCTAAATTTTAAAATAAAATATTATTTTCAGCGGTAATCGAATGTCCATCTTTCCCAACAAACCCACAATCCTTACGGTTGAACCAAAACCCCTTTTGTTACTGGGTTCGGCAGTATATATTTATATAAATTTAATAAATATTTCAATACAAATACAGAGTTTCGGAAAAAGTTACTGGGTTCGACCGAACCCGTACCCACCACTGTAGCTCCGCCCCTAGAAGTACCATATTGGGGGAATCTGACCAAGAGGATTACTTAAGTTAGTGAGCACCTGTATTTCCATCTTATACTTTCAAAGTTCGTGTTAGGATCGGGAACCCGGATAGTGCGGAATATAACCAAACAACGGTATAATGACAATAACAAAGACAATTGAAGTTGATAACAACGACAATAAAAGTAGATAAAGAAGACACAAATTTAACGTGGTTCGGTCAAAGTGACCTACGTCCACAAGCGGAGAGGAGCAATTTACTATAAGAATAAGAGTACAAAAGAGAGTACAAAATTAGAGTAAACACTCTAATTAATCCCAAATACCCTAAGAGAATAACCTCACAAGATCACTCCAAAGAAAGGGTTCACACAAGTGCTTCCCAACACTTAACTCTCATACAAAACACTTTTAATAAAGGAAGAAACAAGAAATGAAGACTTAAGTCTTGTTGGTGTGTCTAAAATGAACTAATGGCCTTCCCTTTTATAGGCAAAAAGTCTTGACCTCTTAGGTATAAAAAAAGAGATATAACTTGTGCAAATGATGTCCAACACACAATGTAATATTTTTGGGTCCCAAAAATTATTGCCAACAAAGTCTACACTTTGCAAAAATGCTTATACTTATTTAGGTGGACTCTATTTGACAAAATAATTACCATATTATAGTTCGTTCGAATCATATGGAGAGTAGGTGAAAATACTCTTGATTTCTTAAAAATTGAAGCAAGTAAGAAAATAAAATCCTGACCACTTCATTTGGAGAAGGAAAAAAATGGAAATCAATATCTAAAATTTTGAATGGACAAAAAGAGGGGGTAGACGATAGAGATAACAGAAATAAGCATGTGAGGCCACATTTCAAAGATTTAATTGTCGTGCCTCGGATTCATCAACAGTCGTGCTGCCAAATAATAATGTAGGATGAACCTTTCCTCTATATGCCCAAATCCAATTTTTCTAATCGCGACTTTCCACTTGATTTCGTCATGTCTAACAAATATGATGACACCATTTTTGTTGCTATTATTCGCCCAGTAGTTGACACGTAAACATTGTGAACGTCACGGTTGTGATGACGTCAGAGTTGGATGAGGAGGTGGCGTAAGCAGACAAAGTGATAATGATGCCAACTTGTGTTTTTTGTCGGGTAGTACAATTAGGAAGCGAGGACTATCAAAGTCTCCTTTAATTTCAAACTTTTAGGCAATAACAAAAAAATTCTTCAAAAGTACTTTGTTTTTAAGGGTACAAGTATTTTAAATTTATGTGAACCTATTTGATTGTGTATGAAGTTAAAAAAAAAAAAAAATTAAATTTATGTAAAATAATACACATATATTTTATGTGGTTATAGGTAAATTATTTTCAAATATAAAAATGAATCATTTTTTTTATACAAACTAAAAAAAAAATCACATAAAATGAAACAGATGTAATATAAGTACTTTTAAATATTATAAAGTGCACTTCCTTTTTTTCAAAAATTAATAATAATATAAAAGTATCATAGGGGATAGAAAACTTGCCTTGACAATTTCAGCCCTTTGATTTTCGTTCTTGTACATTTTCCCTCGCGGAAAAAAACTTGAGCGCAAAAGTGGCCTCAGGAAGGACAAGGAGGTGGACCGTTGGAGTAGCAAAATGAGCAATTTATGCAAATACTCATTGAGCTTAAAATAATTATTATTTTTAATTTATTTGAAAATTATTTACAATATATACTTACCCAATTAAAATTAATTATCCATACCCACCCACTCATTACTCGTTTGGCTTGGCTTAGCTTGATTTGGCTTGACTTGGTTTGCTTTGCTTGGCTTGATTTGGCTTTGCTTGACTTGGTTTAGTAACTTAATTTGAGTTCATTTGGTTGGTTTTTGACTGGGTATTAAAAAAAATGGGTAGGGGCAAACTATGTAGGTCGGTAAATATTTTGTCCCGCCTGGGTATTTGTTAAAGACCCGTAGGAAAAAACTGGGCTTATATAAATAGGAAATGGAGAAACATAAGAAAAGAAAAAGAAAACAGGATAGAAACTGAAATAGAAATATATTTAAAAGGAAAATGAAATAAGATTAATACAACAATATATACCGAATTTAATAGCTTGGGGTTTAATTGAAAGATTCAACAATATATACTTATAATTTAAGATATAATTGTTTGTAGACAACATTTCATAGTCATTTTTTATACTAGCAGTGTACGCGCTTTGCGTGTGTATCCATAACAATATTATACAACCTAAAAAAATTGACATTGTTACGATTTAATGATGTATATAAGTTATAAAATTAAAGAAAAGAAATATAAAAAAATTGACATTGTTACGATTTAATGATGTATATAAGTTATAAAATTAAAGAAAAGAAATATAAAAAAATTGACATTGTTACGATTTAATGATGTATATAAGTTATAAAATTAAAGAAAAGAAATATAAAAAAATTGACATTGTTACGATTTAATGATGTATATAAGTTATAAAATTAAAGAAAAGAAATATAAAAAAATTGACATTGTTACGATTTAATGATGTATATAAGTTATAAAATTAATGATGCAAAAGTTAAAAATGACTATTGTTGATTACTACTATTTATAACATATAACCTAATACATTACTGTTAAATATTTTTCAAATCACAAAGAGAAAAGGAAGAGGAGTAGAGAAACGTACCTGGAAGAGTTGATGGATGTATGTGGCCAGAGAGGAGGCAGAGCTCCTTTTATAAATCAGCAACGACGGTGTTTAAATACTTTCAAATGTGATGAACCCTCTTTTAATCCAAATTCTCGAATGACAGAATCTTTTTCTAAAAGAAAATCGAATTGGATGGGAAATAAGAAAGGAAAAGTTATTAGCCTAAATTTTGAAATAAGCTATATATTCGATAAGAAAGGAAACCTGAATATTAGACGCGAATCTTAACCAACATAATCTTATATTCTTAAAAAAATATAATTGGGTGGTCAATAAGAAAAGAAAAATATTTAAATGAAAAATAATTCTTCCAAAGCAATATAAAAGCATCAAAATATGGCACGACCCAAAATTCACTATAGGTCGTGATGACGCCCAACGTCGCCGTTAGGTAAGCCAACAGTGATTTACCAACTTAATTATTTATTTTTATTATTTTTGAAACCATAAATTTTATTAGGTAAAGAATTCAATGCATAAAAAAATCATGAATATTTAAAATATTAGTAAAATATAAAATAAAAGATGACAATATCAAATCGAATCATAAATTAGGATATTCCAAAACCCGGTGTCAGAAGTACATGAACATTTACTAAGGAGTACAATAATAGTACAACATCTGTTTGAAATATAAAATAGACATGATAAAGTAAATAAATAGATGGAGACTCTGCGATGCGTAGCATGGAATACAGCTCACCAAAAAGCCCCCTCAGCAGCTGCGCCTACGCGCCAAGATGACCATCAAAGTAACCCGTCAGATCCCGCACATTTAGTGTAGAAGTGTAACATGAGTACGTAGATCAACGCGTACCCAATAAGTATCTAGCCTAACCCCGAAAAAGTAATGACGGGGAGTCGACATCGACACTTACTAATGGTCCAATAAATAAAATACAGGGATCATAATTAGGCGTGAGATACAACAGAATCAGTAGAAAAAGGAACAATATAGGGAAATCTCGTGGGTACTCGGACTCTTAGTGATTTTACGCACGAATTATGCCGAAGTCGTTCGGCCCGATCCACATAGTCGCATAGTAAAGCCAACTAATTAGCATAAATTATAGTTAATTTTTTCTATAGTAACCTTGTTTGTTTATATTTTGACAGTTATAGTAAAGTGATCTTATAAAGAACATATTTCATAACATAATATTAAAATTGGGTCCGAAAATAACTTGACTTGTGAATTATTATTATAAAGAGATATTGCTATATTTCTTTGACTATAGAGTTTATTCAAATCCAATTTCAAATGGAAGAAATCCCCTCCCATTAAGCCGAACAACGACAAACAACATCAAATAAACAAGTTAAGTGTCATACGCATTGTTTTGTGTACCCTGCAAAAGGCAGTCTCATTCCATGAATTTTCGAACTTGTGTCCCCTAGGAGTTTCCTCCGACAATTGTAAGGGATTAGTTTTGCGATGGATTATTTTATCTTTCCTCTCCATTGTTAGGTTACTCTTACGGTAATTACTAATTACATATTTGTTTATATATTAATTGGATAGATAACTATATCAACAAAACGTTATTTTTTTTCTGTTTTTATAATAACGAGTAATCGTAACAATTAAAACAAATGTAAATGACGGTGGGTGAGCAATCAGGATCTGAAGCATATAAATGAGAATATGCAGCTTTTGATGAGTTTGAAGGAGGAGCTAAAACGCGTTTTTCAGGACTAATTAATACCAAACGAAAGAGACTTGGAACATAAATTCAATGGAGTAACGTAAGCCAAAGAATAATGGGATTTTTGGTTCAATCATAGAGCATTTGATTATGGTTTTGTAGAAGAGAAATGAATGGTATAGAATTGGAACGCCGACGTAGCATTTGTTTATTTATTTTCCTATTATTGTAGATGGTTCTTTCACCCAACCCCAGATCATCAAGGTCACCATCAAAATCGATTCTATCTTATTTTCCTCTAATTAAGAGCACTAATTTGTCAGTGTTAATTGCGGCTGGTTTCACGCGTTATTTTTTGGCTTTCTAGTTGCATTTCTGCTTTTAGCTTCCAGATTTGCCGGTTGCCGACTTTATCTTTTTAAAAGTTTCTTTAGGTAGAGGTAGACTTTTGAATACATAGAATTAGTATGATTTACGAGCCCGTTTGGACATAAGAATTTTTTCACTTGAAGATGAATTTTAGAATTTTTCGAAAATTTGAAAAAGTCAAAAAAACTTTTTTTCAAAATTTCACTCAGATTACTCACAAAACTTCAAAAACAACCCAAAATTATATTCATGTCCAAACACTACTTTAGTTTTCAAATATCATTTTCACTTGAAATTTTTTTTCACTTTTTTTTTTAAAAATTTTACAATTCTTATGTCCAAACGCCCACGTAATGTTAATTGATTTTGTGGCACATTATTTATTTTTTTTGGTTTTTTGTTGAGTTTCTTAAAAGATCATTAATTTGTACCTGTAAGAGATGAAAAATAAAACACAAGCAATTTTGTAGAACTGTAATATCCCAACTCTAATCCCGCGTTGCCTAATTTTTATTATACTTTGGGGGTGGCGAAGGAAGAATTGGAAGAGGGGTTACAAGGTGGTGAATCGGATTCTTACCAACAACAACAAAAAACTTAGGTAGCCAATCAATTTTCTCTGCATGTTGACTATCTACCTTGTTCCATTACCTCCAACGTTAAAATTAGAAATGATAGATTGGGTCTGGACAATTTGAAGATACAGTACAGGCCGCTTTCACTTGGGCTTTAAGTCAGCACTGGAAAGACATGGGCCGCTTTTTAGTGCAAGGTTTTAAACCTTCGCACAACTTTTCCTAGATCTGTTTCTATTATGCATTGGAATAGGGAAAAAGAAGGGAGAATATGTGAACATTTTTTGTGTAAGATACTATAGCTGATACTACTATGTATGTACAAGTATATGTTTTTGTAATTTGAAGACATTTCCACTTTGCTTTGAAAAGTCTTATATGATGATACTTTTATAATAGGAGGATTTAAATTGTATATGCTAACAATGTAAAGATTATTACAACTATCAATGTATTTTAATAGGTTATAGTTTTCCTAGTGCTTTAAATGTTACACATTGACGGTATAAAAAATTATTAAAGTGGATGTACAATCTTTTGGCGTAGGTCCAAACTATGATGAGGGTGTAAGTATTTTCTATACAATAAAACAATAAACATAAGTTCTTTGCCAGATTTCAGTACATGGTTATTGTAAATGATTTCAGTATATGTTCTTGGTACATTATTTCTTTTAATTGGAAGAAGAATTAATTAATCTTAATCGTCATTGGTCTGGTTGACAGGGAAATTGTGAGCAGATATTGCACAGAAGTTCGACAACTCGGATTCAGATTGCAGGAAGCCATAGCAGAGAGCCTAGGCTTAGAGAAAGTGTGTATAAAGGATGTATTGGGTGAACAAGGCCAACACATGGCTATCAATTTCTACCCACCATGTCCACAACCAGAACTCACTTATGGGCTCCCAGCACATACCGATCCAAATGCCCTTACCATTCTTCTTCAAGACTTACAAGTAGCTGGTCTTCAAGTTCTTAAAGATGGTAAATGGTTGGCTGTCAAACCTCAGCCAGATGCCTTTGTCATTAATCTCGGTGATCAACTTCAGGTAAATCAGAACTCCCTTTAGTACATTTGATCTGTTGCTTATACACAAGTTAACCAGTGTCTATAAGTTCCGTCCATAAATTATAGCCCGTTTGGATTAGATGGTCGTAAATAGCTGATAAGTTTGAAGTACTGAAAAGCATTTTTAAGTGCTGAAATTAATTTTTTACGTGTTTGGATAGATGTGTGCTGAAACTGATAATTAATAAACAGTTGAAGATTAACTAAAATACCCTTAAAACTTTATATAAGATTATAAATTAAAAAGTTTCTTTGTAAAGAAAAGGATGAACAACGAACATGGAACGACAACTTATGACTTATGATTGATTTTAACTTATAAATATTTGACTATAAACACTTTGAATATTTACCAAACGCATAGATAAGCTAAAATGTGCTTATAAGTTAATTTGACCAGCTTATAAGCTTAGCTAAATACCGTATTAATACTTTTTGGTCATGTTCATTCTGCAGGCAGTGAGTAATGGAAGATACAAAAGCGTATGGCATCGAGCTATTGTAAATTCTGATAAAGCCAGGTTGTCAGTGGCTTCGTTCCTTTGTCCGTGCGATAGCGCGAAAATCAGTGCTCCAAAGCTCCTGACTGAAGATGGATCTCCAGTCATTTATCAGGACTTTACGTATGCTGAGTATTACAAGAAGTTCTGGAGCAGGAATTTGGACCAAGAACATTGTTTGGAACTTTTCAAGAACTAAAGATCCATCTTCATCTTGGACAATCTCTTTGCAAAATTTACTAGTATTTTTCAAGTTTTAAGCCTTTTTGTTTTAGTTTTGAGCGATAGTTATGGGGGTGGGAGTTAAATTAGAAAAAAGAGGAAGAAAGAAACAGTTACCTGTTCATTGCCTAGCTGATTAAATTACCCAATAACAAGAGTCCAGCGTCCTGTTTTGCTACTTGCTGTCAAGTAGTATTAGCAATAATTAGCTCGGAAAGTTGGACTACAGATCTTGTTGGAATTAAGAGGAATAACGGTTCAGTCCAGTTGTAATAGTATAGGAATAAGATTACTACTTATTGTTTAACTAGTTTCCGGTGTGTCTTCAATTTTGATTTTTTAAAAAAAAGATTATTAATTATATTATTTTTTAGAGTTTTGTTCATTTTATGATGCAGACCTGCAAATTTGGGGGGAAAACTTTAAAAACCAATACAACTATACAAGGAAGAACATTACACAAAAAAAAGCTATACAAGAGGAACATGAGCTAACGAATTCACTAATTGCCTTATGTATCGGGATATCCACCAGAAACACCAGAACTCTTAGAAAGGGGAAGGCTCCGCGAAATCTATAAAAGTTTTAATTAAATAAATCAACAACAAATATTCTAACTAAGCTTATTTACATATTTAAGTCAATTTACAGGGAGTTCCTTGTAAATTCGACTTGATAATTTTCTTACTTTTTTAGATTTCAACATGTAGTTTGCATTTGAATATGAGCAACATCGGCTATGATTGCAGATACTTCATGTCGAGAAGTTATTTGTTATAGAGATATTTTATAGATACTAACATGAAAAAGTTTTATTGATATCATTGTTGCACGTACAAGAGCCCTTTGTCCGATTCAAGATTATGACTACGTTCATCTGTAAATTTGACAAAAATATTAGTTGAATTGCATAAATTATATAATTATATAAATAGAACACGACAATCATGTGTCAAATCACTCCATTACACACCATGTAAACTAATATTTTAAGAAATTTGAACCTCTAGTTTATCTATTAAACTTGCATTGTAACAAAAGATGGGTTAAAATTGATTAAATAATAAATGGCGTAATACACTTCTTAAACGAGGTAACTAAGTCACTGTGAGTATCTAATTTTTGACTATATTTGAATTTTTATCACCTTTTACTATATAAATATTTTCAGAATTTAATATATATATATATATA